GCACTCAAATTGCAGTTGGTGGCAGAGAATCTTCTCTGGTTTTTCTTTATATATTTTTTAAACAGGGTGGAAGGATGCCTTTGGAGTTAAGAATGCTGTCTGTAATCTTTTATACAACAAGGTGCTAGTTTCATCTTGCTTACAAATACTTTTATCTTGTAGATTTTTCAAATAAATCCAGTATTATATGTGGCATTGTCAGGTGATGCTGATGAGCATCTGTAAAAATTCTATGAGTAAAACGCTGCATAAGGAAAGAGATTTTATATGTAGGTTGATAATAATATACCATATGTTAAGACTTTTGGTCATAAGAATGATATTTTTTTTGGTATGTCTAATATTGTTGGTAACCGGTGTTGAAACAGCTGCTCTATGTGGCTAAAAATGAGTTAGTGTATTGTTCAGATCTGTGATGCATTTTATGTTGCAAATATAAAATCCATGCTGTTGAATTTCCATTCTGCTATTATTTATAATTCAAATACATCATATATATGTTAAGCTGTGGTTCCAGGCTCTCTAAAACCTGAATTTAAAAAAAAAAAAAAAGGCAAGGTCAAATTAAAGGTGCATGCAGCATCAGCAGCATTTACTGTTATTCTTCTACATCTCAAATTAAGTGTAACACAGTATAAATGAGTGTTCCTTCTACCAAATCACTTCTAACTATTTGAGCCCGGGCTGTCATTTCATGGGGCTGAATTATGTGAACGACAGTGTGCTTTGTACTGTACTCCCAACAGCTGGACCCGGGAAAGCAACAGATTCCTTCGTCTCAGCCCCCTGTTACAGACATGTGCTTTCTTGTTACCTTTTCCGCTGAGCAGGTGTTTAGCTCCTATGTAAGAAGAACTAGCTTCCTCACTCCCTTCAAAGCTTTACAGACAACTTCCTCAAAAATTTTCACGGAAGTTTCTCTTTTGTAGCCCCAGCTAGAAAATTGTAGAACTTGTAAAAGATCGTCCAACTGGAAAAGGCACAAAATATTTATCAGCTTCCTGCTAATCTGCAAATACTGCAGACCAACAAATGCCAAAGCTTACCTGTTACAAAGTTTTTTCATTGATAGTGCTTTGGAAGTAATCTTTAACATAGCGATGATGTAATTTCAGTGTTTCAATAAGAGTTTTAAGCATCTCATCAATAATCTTTGCAGCTACTCAATTAGCCATGTAATCTGTAACAGTTTACACACCGAGGACAATAGTCTGAGTTTTCTTCAGTTGATTTCAGGGTCAGGATTACTGTTAGATTTGCTGATTTCTTGATCTTTCTAATACAGTTACAGTGAAAGTAGTCTATGGTCTGTTTTAATGTATACAAGATGAAAGCAAGTTTTCAGGATCACAATCTGTGTTGTGGTGCTGAAAATGGAGTAGTACAATTCAGCTTTTTTTTTAGGATTTCATGGGGAAAAGTGAATCAAGAATTACCATCTAATTGGCATACAACATTAATTCACTAATATGACTTTTTATGACACAATGCATGCCTGTTCCAGTGAGTACTGTTCTGAATGGTAGCCACTTAGCTCTCAAAATTTTGGCAGCAGCTCTAGAAAATCCTGCAAAATAGAATGGCTGTAGGAAGGAAGGCTGCAGTGTGAAGGAAGAGGATCTTGTGCATTGAGAGAAACTACCTCTCAGCTAGTGAGAAAGAAGATGCAGCCACTGAGCATCATAAAAGAATTTGCCGTTTGTAGCATATTACTGTCTTGCAGAATTTTAAGGTGTCATGTCTGTAAAACCATCCTTCCATCCTGCTGTTCAGTAATTTAGCACAGTCTGGAAGAGAGAGAGATGTGGTCTCTACTTGTATAGGCAGAAACAGCTGAGGAGTAGTTACTGGCCCTCTGATACTTTGCTGTCAAAAGTAAAATAAAAATTATTACACATAGAAGCTGTCTGTTTGTTTTGTTGGTCTTTCTGTTTTTTCAGTAGGACCAATGCATTTTAAAAGCATCCAAAAATGTCAGGCATCTCATTTATATGAAAGCAAGATGCCCCCAAATATTTTGCAGTTGAACATCAGATTAAAATTTTCCTGATACTTGACAGCAAACTAAATAGCAAAAGATATGAAAGATGATCTGGTAAATATTAAGTCAATTAATTTATTAATTTTCTTTCAAATACGAGAGGTATTAAAGAAATAGCAACAGTAATGTTTCTGAAATATATTAATTTCTTGATCCATCTGTTAAAGTGTGTCAATGTACTTTAAATTTTATTTATCTGTGCTTATTTCCTTACTGAAGAAAAGGATATAAAATATCATCTGAGTTGTTTAGGATAGTTCCTTGTTTAGTGACTAGAGGTACTTTGGAGACAAGCTGGCTATAATTAGAGATTTAAGTGTTGGTGCCTTCCTATAGTGTTACTCAAGTTGTAGTTGCAGTTGTAAAAAAAAAATATGTCTTGACCTTGGATTTTTTCTTAAACTATTGTTGCCTCACCTTTTACAAGTCGCTCACAGTGGTCATATTGCTTCTGTCAGTCATAAGGAATTTTCAGGTAATTTTTGTTGTGCTTTTTAGATGATCCACAGTAGATTCTTTAGAGCTTTGTGGGGTCTTTAGAAGCACTGAGCCTGGCAGATGAAGATAAAGAGCTTACGTGATGTGATACCTTGTAGGAAGCCACTGTAGAAAGTAGGCTGGCTAGTGGTGCTGCTGGTGTCGTGTGCTTCTGAGGCATGCTCTGTATCAGCCCAGCTTTCTGAAGAGCTGATTGTGGTGTGCCCAGGTACAGTTCAGATACGATGCAAACCACAGTGCTCCAGACTTGCTAAGGCAGCTAGAAACAGTTCTGATGTTGGGAACCAGAGACGTATTTATATCCTAGATTTGAAAATACATAGTTTCATTACAAATCAAATTATGTTTATCAGTGCAACTAATATTTGTTTATTTTGCTACATTTCATAAAGATTAGGTAACTTGTGTTTTACTAAATTATATCCTTAGTTTCAGAAACTCCTCCATAAGTGAATGTTGTGGGTTTTTTTTTCTAAATATTCTTTTTTTTCATAACACCATGGCAGAGCTGTAGAAGACATTATGAATAGAAACTGAGCAATGGTTCACAATGAGCAATGTACAATTTTGTTAAGTGGTGTCTCATTTTGCTGTGTTATAAGTGATTTGAACTGTGAGGAAGTGAGAAGCTTAGTCCTGCCAAGAAAACAAAAAAATCCTAAGAGGCTGAGAATGGTTTCTTGTTTATTTGCTTACCTCAAGAAAGCTGGGGTTATGATGGAGTCTAAAAAGACTGAGATAACCCGCAGACTGCAAAATGCGTTTGGTACCTGGCAAAGTGCTTTCATCCACTCTGTGGAGGACAAACCTCCAGACCAGCCTGGCTGTGGATGCTCCACGGAGTAGTTGAGGGCCTGTGTGATCCTGCGGCCTGAAGATGCAGTTGCTTAGTTGGGGTTCCTTCAGACGCTCTGAACCTGGGAAAAAAAGTGACTTATACTGCAACTGCCAGGATGGTGCATTACATGTGAAACTGAGGGTTTATGTTGTGTACTTGATGCAGTAGCAGGAGAACATGGAGATGCTTATAGAAGTCAGGGTCAGTTAGGATAGCCAGAGGTCAGTTAGGAAGTAGAGCACTTCCTTGCTCGTGCAGTAGTCTACCTCATGGGTTCTTACTTCTGCTTTTCAGGAGGGCTCATTGGAGTGAGCTATCACCAGAACCACAGCTTTTTGTTTATTTGTTTTATAGGACGCTCATTTGCCTACTCTATGAGTAGCACTTATGTGGTGTGGATGTTCAAGGTAACAGATTATTGGAATGAAGTAAGAGCTCAGTTAGTACTTGACAGTGCAGAGCTGAGAGGCTCCTTTTATGATGATGTTTCTGAGGCTTATTGAGATCCCACGTTTTCAATATCAGGTGGCTAATGAAGAACTGTTTAATTCGGTTATATTATCTGCCTTGGAAGGCATTCTGTGACTGAGTGGTTCCACTTGCGTTAGCTAGCATTACTTGGATTTTAAAGTTTAAATTTTGTGAAGAAGCTCTGTTTCTCCTGTAAATGGCATTTTGGGAAAGATCAGATGACAGAAGAGGTTTCCTGGCACAAGAGTATAGCAATTTCTGGTTTTCTGTTTGTCTTTGAGGAACTGTTGGAAGGGAGCTGCAAGTGCTGTTTATAAAGATAAGACAATAAGGGAATTAAGTTTGATTGCACCTAAGTGAAGATGTGAATTTAAGAAAAGTGTATTTCTGAGAGAACGCAAGATTGAGCAATTTGTTTATCTAGTGTTGTGTTATTAATACCCTGCAGTCTTTGGACTTCATGGATTTTAGTCTGCTTTAACACTCTACTAATCAAGTTGCTTTTCCCCACCCTTGAATTTGAGGTGTAAGATAATAAATCCCCTTCCTTTGGTAGGCATCTTGGTAAGCACATACAGAAGTGGTGAGGAGTACTAGACACTGCTACGATATGTTATACTCAGCCACTATCTGTTATGAAAATAGTCTGCTAATATTCACTTTACAGTTTCAGCATTTATTTTGCATGTGCCTAAGAGGTCTTACCCCAGTTTTATCTCAGAAATTGAAAGTCTTAACTGTTACAGCCCATGTCAGTTTATAAAGTGATGATTTTAAAGAAATCTAATTTAGTGGAACTTGCTCATTAAATAATTAAGTAAAAGATGCTATAAGGATTTTGAGGGAGAACAATTCTATCATCTATATTTCAGAATTTGTGGGAATTTTTTAAGGTAACTTTTACTGCTAGATAGCATTCTTCTGGAAAAATCTGATTCCTACACTCTGTTTTGGATATTGTTTGGTTTGTTTGAATGCCCGAACTAGAAGGATCTGAACATGAAATTATTATGCTTTGGAACTGTTGGTAGTGTTATTTTAGCTACGATTAATTTGTAGTTCTGAGAATGAATATTGTTTTACTGTTTTCCCCTTGTCATTCAACAAATAAATTATATGTGCATTTATGCCATCTCTGCATATTTATTTCAGTGCAATGCGTGTATTGTTGTCCAAGTTACCACGACCATGGATTGTTGATGAGAAAAAAGATGATGGTTACACTGCCTTGCATCTGGCAGCTCTCAATAATCATGTGGAAGTGGCTGAACTTCTGGTGCACCAGGTAGGACGCCCTTCTCAGGAGGATTTAAATGTCACACTTCAGTTAACCATCTGATGTGAAAATAGGTTGCTTCTTTACTCCTGCAATTGCAATGCAGAAGCAATGGAGCAGGGAAGGACATGTGGTGAGCTCTAAAGGTCAAACTAGCCTTTGAGATCATTACAGTGGCCTAATGGTGCAGGGGGACTGAAAAATTTGATACCTAGTTTGATTCAACAGATCAACATGTGTGCAGTGAATAATTAAAGCATTTTATCATTTCTGCTCTCACATCTCCAAACTAGTAATCATATTCAGGGTCGTACTCAGTGCCCTAATGGACTGCCTTGCCTGTAGGTGAATTGCTGGGATGATAATGCTCTAATACTTTTAATATCTTTCAGGGCAATGCTAACCTGGATATCCAGAATGTTAACCAGCAAACTGCTCTGCACCTTGCTGTTGAACGACAGCATACACAAATTGTTAGGGTAAGTATTTTATTTGCAATCAGCCATATGGTTAATGGTGCTTGTAGCTGTTAGGACATGGGTACTTCATGAGCATTTAAAAAACAATTTAACAAGATGTAGCTATTGAATGTTTCTATGATTAATTTTGATCAGTTTAGAAGCCTGACAATTTGCACGGAAGGTCAGTCAGCAATAGGAAGGGCATTTCAGGAATGCTAAATTTTTGTATATGTACATTATGGTTTCCTCTGTGCGGTTGCCAATTCCAACATCCCTCCTTGCTCAGTAAGGGAGAATGTGTTCCTTTGTTGCTTGTCTGAGTCTTGTAGTGCTGTGATGGGACATTAAAATAGCATTTTTATGCCTCTTACTATATGAGGAATTATTCTTGCTCATAGCTTTTGTAAATTGTAACTAAGTGAAACATCTTTCATGAGTTTAGGTACTTTTCAGTCTTCTGAGTCTGTAACTTTCCCTGTTCTTAGCTTGGGAGCTATAAGCAGTAACAGAAGTACCTTACTGGTGAAAGTAGTGCTATTTCTGTTTTTTGCTTGCACAGTTGCAAAAGTTAATACTTCACAAAACTTTGTTACTGGCAAAGGAAACAGCTTGCCTGTTCTGGCCTGTGCGCACTGTCCATATGGAGCCCATGTGACTTGAGCATTTAGATTGCTAACGTGAGCTGTTGAGGCTCATGGAGAACACTCACTGCTGTGGGAGATGTTCACTACGAGTGAATACATCAACTTGGCCTTGACCCTCTGCATATTTTTTTAAAATTTGCCTTTGTAGAGTGAGAGTAGTTGTATATTAAAAACTGTCTCTTATTCAGGCCTACAGAGACTTGTCCCCCCTACACAGACCTATATCTGCAGTTCTGTTTAATGTTACTTTGCCATAAGGTTTCTCCATCTCCAAGGGTTGATGGATGTGATTCCATTAGAGTGAACCATGTGCCCTATATCTGGAACTGCTTGCTACCAAAAGAATGGTTTCCTAGAGTCAGTGTCACTTGCATCCTGCATGCTTATTCGGCAGCTATATTTGGTGGGCTCTCATCCCCTTCTGGAACTGACACGGTACCTGGGAATACAATACTAATGTAGCAGATGAGCAGGAAGGCAGGCATGTAGAAGAACTACTATGTGTATTGGACTGATAATATAATAATATACGAGAATGTTTAAGTGAATGACCCTGTGGAGTGTCCGTACTTCAGAGCTGGATTAACTTTGAGAAGTCCTAAAATAACTCATGCAGCCATGCAAAGAACATGTTGGCTCTGTATTTCAAAAATAATTCCTATTGGGTACCTTCCAGGGCTGGGCTGTACTCTCAGGCATCTGTGGAATAGTGGTCAAAGGTAGAAGGGTTTTTAAAAGCCCTCCTGCCATGACAAAGGGGGGTGGTTTGCTTTTTATTTTAAACTTTTTTTTTTTTTTAACTTCTGCAAAGGCTTTGAATTTCCATGGTAGCCAGCGATTCCAGGTTGCTCTGAAAAGAGTTCTCTTACAAATTTTCTTCCAAGAGAAACTCTTAAGCAGTAAATAGCTAGTGGCAGACACAAGATAGGAATATGAGAAATTAAAACTGAGACAGAGTAAGTCAGTTTAGAGAGTGAAAGAGGTTAGGACGAGACTGTGGTAACTATTGGCTGATTTTTCTTGGTTTCACTGATGGAAGAAAATATTGGGGAAAGTGGTAAGCTGCAGTCAATTACAGACAAGTGTTTCCTTGAAGATTAAGTTCTGAATTCCTTTTAGGTTTTTCTAGAGTCTGAGATTCTTTGGTTCTGAGAGGCTGAAATCCTTGCAAGCATGCAGGTTCTGAAGAGGGAGATCCTTCATATGTGTTCCTGTTTCAAGGCTATGCCTTTTATCTCTGCTACTAATCTGATTTTTTCAGAGTAACAAAAGCTCAAAACTAAAGTTGCAACCTCAGCTGCTATCTACAGATTTCAGAATGGTGACAGTGACAGGGCTTAATTTTTAGGGGCAATTGTTATTAATCAGCATGTGTTGATTTGTTTTGTTTAACAGTATATTTAGGCAAGTTCTGGTGTGTTGAATTATGGGAGGGCTGTATGCAAAGGCAATATGAATAGGAGGGCCCGTGCTGCCTTGCGTTTCCTTTCATGTCATGTGACCTGGAACGTGTGCCTAAAATTAGACTTAAAGACAGGTCTTACGGTTCATTACTTTCCAAAGTGTTCTGAGATAGTATTTAATAGTGTCAGTGGTTTTTATGTCTTCTGCTGAGTAGGGATAAACCTAAGTACGTGCTTAACTACTTTGCTGATGGGAGAATACTGTAAATGAAGTTGTAAAGTTTAGCATGGTGTAAAAGTGATGGGTTTTTAGGTCATTGAAACCTATTAGTGAAGAATATATGCGTATCTAAAGTATTGCCTGCTTGTTCTGTTTCTGCTTTATTGCTGTAATATGTTAAATTGTTTGTAGGCTAACTTGCAAGAAGTAAAGGTTTTGGACAGTAGAAAGAATCCTCTAAAATAGCATCTCTTGTAGCACTTCCTTAAGAGCACAGGTAAGCATTAGGTTTCTGCTGAAATAAGCTTGATATTTTAAAGAGATCAGTTGAGGACTGAGCTCCAAGTATGGAAAATAAATTTAAATAAATTCAACTGTGAATTGTAGCAAGATAAAAGAGCAACCCTTTTGAACCTCCTAGACCATCATAAACCATAGTTTCATTGAAACTAGTTTTGAAAGGAATAACTTTTGAGTTATAAATTGGGTTCTCTCTCTCTTTTCAGCTCTTAGTCCGTGCAGGTGCTAAGCTGGATATTCAGGATAAAGATGGGGATACTCCCCTGCATGAAGCCCTGAGACACCACACCCTGTCACAGCTTCGCCAACTCCAAGACATGCAAGATGTGGGCAAGGTAGATAGTGCTTGGGAGCCATCAAAGAACACAGTAAATAAAATGCATTTATTTATTCTTTTTTTTTTTTCCTGTATGTTTGTCTCTTTATTTGTCTAGTTTGTCTAGTTCTGTACTGTTTAACTGGTTTTTGGCAGCATAAGTTTACGTAGATACTCTGCATTAGGCTGCAGTGTAGGCAGAAATCATATTGTTACATGTGGCTCTTCACATGTAGTCATTGTCTTGGTTAAAGAAAAATACGGATTATTTAGTTCAAAATATTTCTACAAATCTGTCTTCTGTAGTGAGTATGTATGGCTGCCAAAAAATCAAAAGTAACTTTTTAGGAAAGAGAAATAAACAGTATTACAGTGCAGAATAAGACAGAAATTGTTTTCTGTGATTCAACATCTTGCATGTCTTTGTAGCTTTTAGTTTTTCAGCTGCTTTTATAACCTTATGAAAGTTTATTCTGTTAGAACAAGGCTTTCTTAATCTTTGTATGTTTATTGTTATGTATCTTTTCTGACAGAGTTCATTTCAGAAATTGTGCTGTAGTAAGGAAATAGTCAAAGAAACTCCAGGTAATAAAGGTCAAAATGTTTTCTTGAAAAAGGAAACGCTCATACCCAAGAAGCTGTGTGAACACCAGGTGTATAGATGAAATAGATGAAGTTTATAGTTTTGCTGCTAGGCAAAGGAGAAATAAAATTCTGGAGTGAGTGGGATTGAGAAATGCAAACAAAATTCTTTCTTTAAATATTAAAGATGCACAACATAACAGTGGATCAGATTAGCTGAATCATTAGTTACCAGTGTCATAATATTTTCTCTAATTTTAACTGTGGGTCAGAAGTCTTGCATTTCCCTCAAGAAAACCCCACCAAATTTATTAAAAAGCTTTTGTTCACAACAGTAATTCCACTGTACAGCAAATGTTTTTCAAACTGGTTACTTAATTTCACTGAAATACACTGGAATAAACTTCAAAAAGAGATTTAAAATATGACTGGCATATGTAAGAAATTGCTTGTGTCCTTTTATGTGAGAGGAAGAAAGCAATTATAGCTTAGTTGTTTCCATGATCTGAAATGGACGCTGTGAGAGACGGACAGAATACTTGGTGTGCATGTATTTAATTGTGAAACAAATGAATGGGAGATAAATGCTCTTTATCCAATTCAGCATTTCGTAAATGGGTTTCTCTGGCCATCTATTAGTGGCATCCACAATGAAACTAGGTTTGTTGTGTTTTGCGTTTTTTAATGGAAGAAATGGATTTTGTGTTTCAAAGAGTAAGTTTTACTTCTAGTTTCATTTGAGCTGTATCTAGTTTGTTTATCTGCAGAGAAAATTTTTGCCTAACTAACAAATTTAGGAGGTTTAAGTGGTGTGGAGAACATACGTGCCCTCAGAGAACAGGTGAAAGCTTGCTTATTTTAATTTTATGTGGCAGCAACATAAGATGTGGCAGAAATATAAAAGATGGAGTCAAACCTGGCTAAAATATATCTGAAAACTCTTTAAGATGGCCAGCAGGTCAAACTATCTTGAAAACGTTATGTAGAAAATAGTGAGAACAATATTTGTACCTATCTACCTTTATTCAAATAAAGGTAATGTAAAAACGCTATAAACTAGATTTTACCAGTAAACAGGTTTACTAGTAGGCCACCTTTAGCCCAAAATCTTATGTAAAAAAAAAAAAAAAAGACACTATAGACACTATCTAGGCTGCTAAAATATACGCAGGCATCTGGACCTTTAAACCTATCCAGGGACTCATTTGTAATTTCTCTGTGTAGAATTGCAAATACAGGTGATGGATAGTAGAGAATAAATAGGATTAATCATTTAGTCTGTAAAACAGTGAGACTTTCTTTTTGTGAATATGATGACTTAAATTGATGGAATCTGTATTTTTCAGATTAATATTTATTAATTCCTTTAAAGATTGGGGAGTCATGTCAGATTCCTTTAGTCTATGTGATAGCAAATCTGATACATACATTTTTAGGATTTAGAGCTAATTTTTGCTTGGCTGAATTTTAATTAACTTTGGACTACTGTCCTGAAGATACCAACCTACTGAGCCCCCCTGGGTGCCTCTTCAACAAATAATGACTTTTTTCCCAGTTGAACAAACTGAAAAAGAAGAAAAATTTCACTTGCAGGGTTTTAGATGTTTTTCGTATTTGATAAAGGAACTTCTTTGAGATTTTTACCATTTGTTACTTTCTGCTTTGAGCACGGTTTAAAATATGAAACAAACTTTTTACTCATATTGTGAACTTATTTCATAAGTGGAATTATATGAAATGAGTTCTTTAGCATTGATTTTCATTAGTTCCTTCTGAATGTCAACAGTAAGATGTGACAACGAAAACATTTGTTGTCAGGTCTCTTCATCTGGTTTTTGATAAGATTATTTAATATGCTTCTAGTGAACAATCTTGACAGTACACAAAGCCCTACACATTTTAGGTATCAATCTGAAAAGCATTTCTGTGTTCAAGTGCTATTAGCGAGAACCCCATTTCTTTAAATAATTATGAAAACCCCATTTCTTTAAATAATTATGAAGTTTTTCATCCAGCACACATTGTGATGATTGTACAGCTTGGAGGAGGAGAAATCTTCTGAAGTACAGTCCCCACCACAACAATAAAAGTAATTTCAGTTGCCCTGTTACAGATGCATTGCTCCTTGATATAGGGTACTTTTTTCTAAATAAATGGTGTATTCCTCAGGCTCATTTAGTGTAATTTATTTTAACATAGCTACCTTTCAGACCTGTGAAATGCTTTTAAGATTCAAATGATGCTGCTGCCCAAATCCTAAATTGAACTAAAGAAACTCTAATGGAAGTCAGTTAGGTGTTCACAGCTTCAAAGATAGCTCAGTAGTTAACGGTTACTTAGATGATATTTATACTGTTTGTGAGGATTACACTGAGTCTTCTCCCTTGCATTTGAACTGTCTGGGACTGGCTTGTGGTGATGCATCTCAGGGCTAGCACTCTCCAGAGGAGGCTTGATGCAGCTGTAGCAGGCACTAAAACCTAATGTTTATTTTTGTGCAGGCTTTGTTTGTGGGGGGTTTTTTCATTCTGTATGCCTGAGATGTTGCATACTACCAGAGAAGTGTCATAGGATGCAATATTATCTTGGTGTCTTTAAAGCATACAGCACACAGAGGCATTTTAGGACTCAAGGTTTTCTTGAATAATGTTGATGGCTGTTCCAGGTGGAGGAGCCAGTCTTGGTGTGGTGGTTATCCACACCAAGTGAAGCAACATAGCTGTTGCATTCAGGAGCAGCTCAGAGCCCATGAGGTTCAAGTGTGGATGGTAAGAGAACTCTTGTCCCAGCAAGTAAGAAAGGACTACAGCAAATTGTTTGGTGTAGTCATGCCTTCAGGAAGTCTACTCTACCAACCTCAGGGCAAATCAGCTTTCACTGGGCATTGTGCTACCTTGTCTGAATTACGGACATGGTCCAAGGTACTCGGATTGAAGCTAGATAAAATTTCTACTTCACTTCAGCCAATGCTGTAATTGAGGTGCGGAAAAATTATCTGAATTTATGAATAAAAGTGTTTTGTGTTCTGAACACCACAAAACAACTTCTCTCCATAACTTACTGGTTTTCCTTGTATGAAGTCTTTCAAGCTGTACTGTTCTTACTTGATTGTAGGGAAGAATGCAGGACCATGAGTATCTGTAAATTCATGAAGTGACTTTCAAGAGTCTTGTAGCACCTCAGTAATACTTACTGATGTAAGTATTCCTAACAAACAAGTATAGACTGAGGTTTAAAAAAATTGCTTCCTTAGGAAACTGAGTGGCTTTATGGTAAGAAGGATAATCTTGCAGTTATCAAGGCAGGGTAAAGACTTCTAATACATTCTTTAAGTGCTGCAAGACATGGACCCAAACCAAGCCTTTTTCTTCACAAGTCAACCCTGAGAGATGGGGGAAATAACTAGAAGGGTTTTGAAAACTGCTTTCTTTGTAGTTCAGACTTCAAGATATGCAGCCTTTGGGGCTGCAGTGACAGGTATTTTAAATTTATTCCTGTATGCTATTGTATCTAAAATAGCACATCTAGTTCTTTAAATACAAAATGGTTGTTAATCCAACCAAAATTACTTAATTTTTAGGGGTGATACTTGACACCCAGCTTTTAGAAGACCAGCTGCAGGGATAGATCGTGCAAGCTGAACGTGGAGTAGAAAGGTGTTTGTGCAGACTGGACGTGGAATATAAAGATTCACATCAGCCAAGTTGGGCACTTAAATCAGCTAGTGGGAAAGAGGTGCATACGAAATCCTGCCTCTGTCCTAGTGTCGAAGCTCTTGTAATTCTGGAATTCAGCACTTCAACTCCTTGAATTGGAGCTGTCTCAGCTGTGCCAAAGCTGTTCCTTTGAATATAGTCTAGTGTAGTTTGCTGAGGGGTTCTTAGTGGTACCAGCAGTTTCATGTTATATGTGGTCTGCTTTATACGTATGCATTTTATCTGATCAAGCTGTAATACAAAAAGATGATGGAGCAGGCCCAGAATGCTCTGAATTAGGTGAATACTCTCCTTGCTGGGCCATGGTAGTGACCCTTCTTTCTTAATTTTTCTAGCTGGCTCTGTGAATCATGCAGAAAAGGAACACTAATATGGAAATACAGTAATCGTAAAAGGGCAAAGGAGCATTAAGTGATTAGGACAGGAGGATAGGTATGTGAATTTAAATCACTTCAGGCTAAGAAGCAACTGAAATCACGTCTTTCTTGGGCAGATGCTTTACTCACTAGGCTAAAAGTAAGTGTACATTCATTTCTCTGCCCAACTATGTTTTCAGTCCAAGTGTGGTGGTGGTAGCATTTTGTCTGAACTCATCAATTTCATGATACTTTGAGTGTATTCTGAATATACTCACTGGGACTTTGCTGTTTTCAGTGCTTATATAGGAGGACAGCCACTTCGCAAGTGAGTGTAGGTGTTCAAGCAGCCATACAATTGTCTTGATTTCAGCTCTAGAGATGCATCCTTGGGCTTACAGATGTATATGTATGTGTGCTTATGTGCATGTGTGCGTGTCAAGTAGTCTTCCTTTAGCCAGACTAACTGTTTAGAGAGTCTCTCAAGTTGCTTACGTATTTGTTTTCTTTCAGTTAATAATGGGACTTGGCACTCAGGGAGCAGAGAAGAAGAGTGCAGCATCTATTGCCTGCTTCCTGGCAGCCAATGGAGCTGACCTCAGCATTCGTAATAAGAAGGGTCAGTCTCCTCTCGATCTCTGCCCTGATCCTAGTCTCTGCAAAGCATTGGCTAAATGTCACAAAGAAAAAGTCAGGTTTGTATATTCGTAAGATACACAGTTTCCAAATCTCTGCATTCTATAGATTGTATTTAAATAAATATAGATGTATTTAAAGCATTGTGCCTTTATTAGCAATACTGTTAAAACAGACAAACTTCTTCCTGACTTTCAATTCTTTATATTCTGTGGTATGTTGAATGCTATTTACAAATACATTAGTTGAAACTTACACAGTCTTACAGGAATTTCATATATGTTAATATGGGAGAGAGGAGAACGGGAAGGCGGCAACATGAAGGTGGAAGCTCGTAGAACTTCAAACCATCCCAGAAAAGATGGTGGAGGGAAATCACTGAAAGAATAACTAAGCACTGGGACAAGTTGCCCAAGGAGGTTGTGAAATCTCTGCCTATGCAAGTTTTGAAAATTGGAATGGACAAATCCTAGTATAACCTGGTGTGAGTTTGGTGTTGACCCTGCTTTGAGCGGGTGACCTCCTGAGACCTGTCAACCTGAGTGAATGTATGGTTCCGTAAAAAGAGGAGGTTGCAGGCCTGATGTCTCAGAAGCACTTCCCTAGGAGTGATGATTTCACTGAAATACCATGTTATCGAGTGCATGCAGTATGAGAAGTCTCAGCTTGCTACTTGTCCTAGTTGTGTTCCCACCATTGATTTACATGGTTCTCATCCTTAATTCCTGTATGGAAATCAAAAATGTACTTTCAAAATATTACAAAGAGACCCTGTTTTTGTTGATGCTGCCCTGGTGTGTAAGGTGCTTATTTTCTTCAGAGTCTTTGTCTCTGTCCATTTGTCTTGGCCTCATCCCTGTGGCAGTTCTTTCTCACCACCTTTTATGGGCTTCTGAGGGTTGTAGAGGTTGGGTTCAACACACGCTCCCTCTGCTGGGTGAGCAGAGCATAGGACAAAGATTGAAGGCAAATTCTCTGTGAGAGTTCGGGGGTTCTTTTACAAGCCTGCCACTTGCTAAGTATTGGAAGTATATTCAAGATTAAGGCGTTAAGCTGTGCAGTTCTGAATCTGTAGGGTGTATCTCATTAATAAGTAAGCTCTCAGGATGGGAAGGAAGGGTTTTTTACGTTCATGAGATGCTATTCGAACTTAGATGGCCTGTTTCTGTACAATGTCTTTTCTGAGCATGAAACCTTGCACTCTGGTGTCAGCTGTACATTTGGGTAAATGTAGTTCGGATTGTTTTATGATGATACACTGACGTTTTAATGCATAGGAGTATATAGATAAAGAGCCAATTGATGTGTATTTTAAATTAATAATTTCAAGGTTTCTTAAAAGTAAGTTTGACTGCAGGGTTTCTTTGTAGTGGTCAGGTTGGTTCCCGAAGTCCATCTATGATCAACAATGATTCTGAAACCTTAGAAGAATGTATGGTGTGTTCAGACATGAAGAGAGATACTCTGTTTGGCCCATGTGGACACATTGCCACGTGTTCTCTGTGCTCACCACGGGTGAAAAAATGCCTCATCTGTAAAGAACAAGTTCAGTCTAGGACAAAGGTAAAAAGTTCCAAAGTTTATTGGTTCTCTTTCTATTTTTAATGGAAAATTAAAAAAAGAATTCAAGGAAGAGTGTAGCGCATATTAAATGGTATTTTGCCTTACAAGGGTCTCACTGGATGGAATTAATTTTGTATCATAATGATATCTTGTCCCAACATTGCATGTGACTCTTCTGTTTGTCTGTACTCATGTCCTACTTGCCTCTCGTTTTTTCCCCATGTTGCAGTGTCCTTATTGTTCAGGTCCTCAGAGTTCCTAATACACTAACCGGACACTTTATTTAAATAGATCTATTCCTCCCCCAGCCATGGTATTTTTTTTTTCCATGTTAAGATAAATTGCTGCTTTTCCTGAAGTATAATTTCCTTCAGTAATATTCAGTTCTTCTGAGTTCTTTTATTCCTTAGGGCTGCTTGTAAAGACAATTTGTCTGTAAACTGAGTTAGTTAATACGTGTTTATTTTTGAAGTTAATAATTACTTTTAGCTTTCACCTTCTGTTACTTTAGAATAATGAATTTCATTATGCTGTCTTTCTCCTTCAGATATCCAGTTGTGCCCTGTTTTGGGGACCTAATCCCAATAGGGTTCTCAGGTTTCTCAAATGGTTAATCCCAAGTGTTTGTAACTATATGGGTGCATCCCTGTTGCTTTTCCATTTGAATATTCCTTTATTCCCCATAATCACCAAGTTTTGACCCTCTTTTGCTTTTTGGCTGTTTAAAAACAAAACAAACAATCTGATGTTCCACACACAGGTTTTCTGATCTGTAAAAAACCCACTCTATTCTTTTTATGTTTTTCCAAACAGATTTTACTGGTCCGCTTCTGTGGTGTTTTTTTTCTCTGCCTTGAGGTGTATTACAGGAGTTGTTAATATGATTTTGTACTGTTTTTACTGTTCACTCTCTTATTTTTACTACTTATACCATTCACTATTCTTCCATGCATATTTTCAAAGGCTAAATGTTAACAGTGTGACCTCCTTTTCTCTAGACTTTCTTTCTAGTCAGTGGAAAGGTTCTGCCACTGAGTGATTCAGGGCAGCAAAGTAAGTCTTCTATTTCCGCTTACCTATCTAAAGAAGCTGGTTTATGGAAATCGGCTTTTCCAGGTGAAAGCAAACCTTTGTGGATTTCTTTTGATCCTTTGATTTCTTTTGCTAAGTTAGATTGAAAGAGTGAAATATCTGTTCAATATGTCTCTCATACTCTTCTAGATAAAAACTTATGGTAATATCTGCAAGGCTAAGAAATGAATGAACCTGAACAACAGTTCTATGAACTGGAAGAGGTAGTGCAGGCCAGTATGAATGGAGTGGTATGTGGTGTCTATGGTCACACTATATATACAGTTCATCACATGAAAGAGCTTGAGAAGCCCTAACCCAGAATATTAAAACAGATTACTATAAAAGTCTCTTATAAGTGAATTTAAATATATATGGTGGAACAAAGGAGAAAAGAATAAAGAAAAAGAAACAGATACTGTCTTAGCTGCTTCTGTGCCTATCAGTGTACTCAACGTATAAATATTGCCAGCAAATATATGTCCTTAGAAGTCAGAGTGACAACTCTTAGATTGCATTTTGCAGTGCTGAATTAGTTAAAATAACACTAGATGGAGCTTCTTAAAGTCCACATGCCTTGCCAAGAGAGTGTAAAAGCAAATTAATGTAGAGAGCAGGAGATAAACTTTTCTCATATGTGTGTTCATTCTTTACAGATTGAAGAATGTGTAGTATGTTCAGACAAAAAGGCAGCAGTGCTTTTCCAGCCTTGTGGTCATATGTGTGCGTGTGAGAGTAAGTAAACTTGACAGGAAGTTCTTTTTGAAGTAGCCTTGAAACAGAACATTTTAAATCAGATTGATAAAAGCTCATTAGTAATCTGACTTCAAGTCCAATTTACTTGATAGTCTGGTGTGATAATCAGAATTATTATTTGGCATTCTGGTAATGAAATAATTGGAGGACAAGCTGGAAATCTTAAAAAATTCAGAAAGGAAGTGCTCTTCCATCTGAATTATTTAGTTGTGAATAGGCTTGCTCAGATTATAGAAGCCTGCTGTACGTTGTTAAAACTTCTGAAGTAATTAGAAGTAATTTTGTTACTTTGTTGCAGGTTTTTTGGGGCATTCAAATGTGCAAATGGTATTTTGAAAGAATATTGTAAATAAATATTTAATATGCTTCATTGCTGATATACAGATTTGCACAAGGGCTATATTTTTCCCTAGAAGACACATCCTATGTCTTTGCAAAGAGCACCAGTTATGGTTCACTCTGATTTATCTCATGTAGCAAAAAAAAGACATAGGAGATGTCCAGAATTTTTTTTTATTTTGAAAATATGTGGATGAGAATGAAGCCATCATCTTGTCACCAGACATTTCAGGGCTTTGTTGAAGGGTCATTTGCCTAGAGAAGAGCAGACTTTGTTGCTGAGGATCTATATAAGAGGGAAGGTAATTGTTCCCTTAAGTAACTGCTTGCTTCATCTCACTGAAGAAGTCTGGTTTCTTCCTCTCTTCTGGCTGAGACACCTGACATTGAATCACTGACTTTACAGTTATCCTGATCTGGCCTCTTTCAGTGTCTGCAGTTGAAAGATGATGAGAGAAGTTTTTTTGATTAGTTTCCCAGGAAGAGGACAGCAGAAAGATTGGTTGCTGTGGTGAAGGATTTCAGCAGTGAAATGCACATTGCCAAGTCTAAGCTGTAACATGGACAGCAAAAGTTTTAACAGATGTAGGTGATTTCTTTCCAGATTATTTTCTGGACATCTTGTTGAAACAGGATGAGAGTGTCTTCAGATTTGTGTAGTTTATAGGACCCACTTTATTGATTCACAGTAACCTTCAGCATTTATGAGACACTAATTTGTCTTTTGTAGAAGAATTACAGCCTCCTTTCTAGAATTATATCAAAAGATACAGATTTACTCTTTTAAGGATAAGGAGCCTCACCTGTTTGCCCATGGACAGTAAGTGAGATCCTTTGTTCTAAAGGAAAAAGGAAGTAGTCAAGATGTTCTTGGAAGTTCTGGTCTCAAATGTCTGTGATTTTACTTTTTTTAACTTCTGTAATTCCTGTGGAATAGTTATCCATTTGCAGTAAGAGGAACCTGCTTGCTTGAAATATGTTAAGATAAACAGAATAGGTTTAAATCCCAAAGAAGACATTGTTTATAGGTGTGGTTTGCAGAAAATTATGTGAAGATGAACACAAGTAGTTATTTGTATTATAGGCATCTATTATGGTATTGCTGTATAATTACTGTGAATAAACAAGCTCATGGATAGGAAAGAAGAAAAATTAAATAGGATACAAAGTTGATTTCTTTCTCTCTTTTTACTCAGATTGTGCAAGCTTGATGAAGAAATGTGTACAGTGTCGGGCAGTGGTTGAGCGAAGAGTGCCTTTCATAATGTGCTGCGGAGGGAAAGGTACAGAAGATACCACTGATGATATTTGTGAGTGACTCCAAAACCATACTCTTTCACATTCCCCCACCAACTTCTTATTCTTTTAAATGACCTAAATCTTTCCTCTCCTTTTTAAAGAAAAATTTAACAAAACCGGTGTTAAGCCAGGTATCAGTTTGCTGTTTGCACTACTTTCTACATTGGCAGCAGGAGATGCAATGGTAGCACCAGTCATGACACTAAAGGATTGCTTCCAGCATCTGAGTAGAAGTTGAAATATATATATGACTACTTGGTCACTTATTAATCTCCTATGAAGAAAAAGCTGACGATTGTCTGTAATTGTGCAAATGAGCAAATTTTTTTTTTTTTTTAACTTCTGGAACTCTCTTGACTGCAAAGGAATGGTAAAGATTTTGCATCTAGGTACAAGCAACTTTCATGACAGATTGTTGAATTTTACATTTCCTGCTTTCACTAGTTTTTAAATTTATTGTGACTTCTCTGAAAAAAATCTGTGAATTATTTTTATTTACTCTGTGTGTGTATGTGTGGTATGCAGTTTTTGAATTGTTTATGTGAATTGAAATTTTAGGTCATTCTTGTTATACTGTTCCTAAATATATAAATATAAGAATAATCCTTAAAATCAGGTTTTTTAATACTCGCACCAGAAATTTAAAATTTGTCATTTGAAATACTTCTAAATTTTTCTGTTTCTTACAGTAACATTGCCTCCTGTATCAGTCAAATACAGGAATATTAATCTGAGCTTGTTCAAATTTTGAACAAACTACCTCCAAGATGTTTGTGTGGGTTTGAACACCGAATAGAATCATCTGTGTAGATAAGTCTTTTCAGTGTGAAAGGATTTGGCTTTATTTTTTACATGTGCAAAAAAATTTACTACAGGAACTTCACTGACAGGTAAGAACTCCGAGAACATTAAGGGACTATGGGCATTTTGAGCATCATTATTGAGGATATACTTGTCAAAGAAGCATTGCCACTAAACTCAAAGTTCTTTGTGAATTGAGCTGCAGTGATAGCAGCCTCACAATCACAGACTCT